CAAATTTTTCTATTTCTTTTAAATTCTCATTAAAATATTTCTCACTTTCGGCACAAATTTATGGGATGACCTAACTGCAGATCATCACGTATTCTAATGAATAGATAGGGTAAAGTTGCCATATACGAGACCCATTTCTTAAAGAAGTCATAACTGTCGACTAAGAACACTTTTATTAAAATTCGATACATGTTTTAAAAGTACGATATGTATTCTTTTGTAAGGTACTGGAATGTACGGTAAAGAAAATTCGGTTCCTTCGTAATAAAATAAAAACGAAAATTATGCAAATACACAGATTTAAAAAGTGGGTTCCCAATATGAGAAAACTATTTTTGCTGTCCTTTTTCACACATTGGGCATATTAAATCTGTTTCTTCAGCACCGCAGACTTCGTGGGCTCACCGGTAACACTTTGTACGCTAAAACAAAATTGGGTACCTAATATGAGACTCTTCTTACAATAAGAACTTCCGAGGGTCTCATATTCGGAAACAATAACACGTTATTTAACGATACGCAACTAGTAAGCCTTAAACTCCGTTGCATGCACTGTACAACAGTATTTATGAAAATGATTATAAACTTACTATTTTCGAGGTATTTGTAATTTAATCGAACCACTTGAAAAACTTTCTGCAACGTATTGCACAAATATGCTTGTTGAAGACGCTTCATTGATTTCAATCAAATTTCATATTTAATTTGATAATTAACGCGGTTAATTACGAAACAAAACAGCATCGCTACGACATTCAAGAGTTCTGTAACGGAGATATTCTGGGGTCTCGTATTAGAAACGGTCTTATATGTATTAGGCTACTTTACCCTAAATTGAGGTCAATTTTTGTTCGTTTACTCAAGCGAAACAAATGTGTCCCACTGTTCACGAAAGGGTAAAACAAGTCCACCAAGAACTCAATTTCAAACCCACCTAACGTCACAAATAACCTATCGCCAACTTATCAACGCTAATATCACAAAACAAGCGTCGCTAATGAAAGAATAACGAACAATCACCTAGACCCGGCGAAGGAACACCGAACGAGATTCCGTGCTTTTTAATTAGCAGCAGGCTAAAAAACGGCTAAGCGAGGGCGAGCGAGCGGTTGGCCGCCGGCAGGATTAATAAATTAGCCGTAAGGTTTTAAAACGGCTGGCCGGTGCGTAAGCTTGGCAAAGAAGCGAGAGAGCGAGAGAAAGAAGGTAGAAGAGAGAGAGAGAAGAAAGGAGAACGAAGGGGCAGATAATGGTTCCGGTCAACAAAATGAATACCGGCACGCGCTGTTCTTTCCGGATCTCTGAATAGACTTGTAACGAGTCGGTCAGACCTTTCGTTTCTTTTTTCCTCTTTCTCCACGCCTCGCCGCCACGTTCCCTATCCCCGTCCTTTTTTTCCTACGGGATCCCGTGGCGGGATGGCGAGGGAGGGTCAGAGGGAAAAGAGGAAAGAGCGGATCCAAGGGGTGAGAACGAGGATGAGTAGCGAGTAGGCAGCGAGGGTGAGGTCCGTGGCCGAGTGTGTAATTGTGTTATTTTGTTGCCATTTCACGTGAGGGTCACCACGGGAGGGCCAGAGAGGTGTACATAAACACCAGGATTGTTTTATTCATTCGGCCCGCTGCACAACGCGTGCCGAATTCTTTCCTTTTTTCTCTCTCTCTCTCTCTCTTCTCTCTCGCGCGTTCTCCTCTCTCCTTCACCTTCTTTCTCAACGCGGGATCACTCGTCCCGTCCAAATCACACCTCTCGTCTGTGGAAATTGCGGTGTAAACCATGGTTTTATTCCCACGTTGATAATCAATCGATGAACAGATTTAAATGTCCGTGCACGAGAGGAGGGAATAAATAGGCGTGTATCTATTTTAAACGACGGATATCGGCAACCTTCCCGCAGCTTCTTTTAATCGTCGGAGAAAAAGGTGCTTGTCTAACAAGAAAACTCTCTTTAAAGTGTAAAGTCTTCGATCGAAGTATAAAATCTTCTCCATCTATAGATGTAAATATACGCAGCAATGAAATCGAAACGATGGATACAAAATTCTTATAAAATTCTAGTAGATGTTGAAAAGGGTTGAAACGTAGCAATTACAGCTGATCGCGGACTCCTGGCCGATTTAGAGCGTGGCGCGCGAAAAAAAGGGCGCGCGAAGTAAAAGACGAAGGATTCTAAAAAAAGAGAACAGCCCCGGGAACAATCACAAGGTACGTATTTACACACGGCGGCGCGGGGACGTAACGCCGAGGGTAGAGCCCCTGCGCACGAGTAAAGGTCCTTTTTATGCGTGCGGTCGCAAAGGCAGCGTAAAATTGAGTTACAGGGCAGTTTATTTTTTTATTAGCCAGGTCAACCCTGCCTGCCGCGGCGGTTTCAACGCGGAAAGGGTGGTTTTTGCGGCCGACGGATTTCCCGATAGCGGTTTTATGGCGTGTCAACACGCTCTTACGCTGAGCACCGTGTGTGTGTGTGTGTGTGTGTGTGTTGTGTAAAAAGGAAGAGAGAGAGGAAAAAAAAAGGATAGAATGAAAAAGAAAAATAGAAGAAGCAAGAGAACAGCGAAGGAGGAAGGAAGGAAAGCACGGCGTGTGCACGCGATCCTGCGGCTAAATCAGGCTCAGGAACGGAACGGCGCGAATGGCCACGGGCGAACGAGCCTACGATTAAAACTATAGCTCCGTGGGGTCCGGCACGCCTGTACCGCCGTCACGCTTGTAAGTATGCGATTAATCGTGCCCACTTATCACGGGCCAGCGTTTATTCGCCGAGATTTCCGTCCAGCTGGATTGCCCGGCCTATCTCCACCTCCGGATCTTTTAATAATCGACCCGACCACGAGATTGACAGGTGCCGCGGAAATTTCTCGAACGTAAATCTCTCTCCTGGCCCTTGAAGTTTCTGATTGTACGAATATTTTCGGGTAGAATGTGACTGCTCTAATCGTCGAGTGTAACGAAGTTCGTTGATCTAAGTTGTTGCACAATACGCGTGGATTGTAAGTACAAAGTTGAGAAAATCTGACGAGGGAATAGGAAGAAAATTTTTCTGTCAACGATACGCAGATGGTCACTCGAAAGTTTCAACTCGTCGTGTAAGATCGCGATCAGTAGATACTTGAAACGACACAACTCCGGCAGAAAAGTAAGTACTTCTCCAACTATCACTTCGCAGACCTACGCAAATTACGCTCGTGAGAACTTCGTATGCATTTCTCAGCGAAAACTCTATTACCCTTTGAAGTTTGTATCTATACCCGTTCACGTTTGCACCTATATCCGTCATCTGTTAGGCACTGTTACGGTAATCCCGACGACAGCTCGTTTTTACTGTCAAGAGTGTATCGACAAGTACGGTTAAAAATTTCCCCGGTTATAGGTGAACTATCCGAGGCAATTTACCCGGAAACACGAAACGACGAAGATTGAATTTTTGAACTGTTCGTCTCCGCAGCTCCTAGCCGGGAGAAAACGCTAAGGGGATAATGAGAACAGGCAGCAGAGCCGCATGGTGGTAATAAGGTAGCGTGGTGTGGCTGGGATGCTAGTCACGTTTCTAGCTGCTGACAGCTGCGGCTTATACGTATGACGTGGTATCAACCCCAAATTTCCCCGTCTAGGCACATCGTGTCATCGCTGCCCTAAGACCCTGGAATGCACTCGAACTCCCACCTGTCACACCGTGGAATGCCTCTCTGTTCGCGCACATGGAATTTTCTTTGATTCTTTGTTGTCACTGATCGTTCAACCCACTTTCAATCCTCTCCCTAGTGATATACTTCGGTTTCGTTTTGCTTGTTAAATTGTGTCAAGTTTATTCTTCGTAAATGGTAAATTTAAGAACTCGAAGAATAGCGTATCTTAATCCTCAGTTTATCGAGATTTCAAAATTAATTATAGAGTAAATACTTGGAAATTGAATTAAATGTAAAAATTCAGGATGGCAGACGTAAAAGTGGCCCCAAATGCAAAATATAGTTGCACAGTTTATTCGGTGATAATGTACCATTGAGTTGGATTCGGTGTTTTTAACTCAGAAAGGCTTTCAGAAATTTTATTTCTGTACGAAATATAATTATAAACTGTATTTTGCGTTTGTGGAAGTAATTTGGAAAAAGCTGTATAGTAAAATGTGAAAATGGAGAGAAAAAGTAGAACTGTGACGATAATCAATGAAAATGTTCCTATTTGAAGAAAAAGCAACATCTGTCTTTTTCCAAGCGAAGAACGAGCGTAATCGAGAAAGAGTGGCGGGCACATGGCGGCATGTAAACCCGGCTTACAGCATAGATCTCTAAAGGGCATGTGCTCGAGTGCGTCTAATAGGTGCAAGTTTCCCCGCATGTTGCCAGTCTTTACGATCATCGCGACGTTCCCATGATCAAGCGAATAGTTTCGAAGCTGCGCCAAAGACGAAGACAAAGTGGCTGTAGCAGAGGATACGGAGAATAACTTTACTTTGAGGGACCTTGATTTCACCATTTGAGTCATCGCCCCTCGCTTCGTAATTATTGATTTTCCGTGCTACCCTAACTCCCCTAACTTCATAGAGAAAGCGAGAGACCGAGCACGAGAGAGAGAGAGAGAGAGAGGGACAGTGAGAGAAGAGTACAGTACGCGGGAGAGTCGAAAATGCCTTTTGTCCCCCTATCGCGTAGTAGGATAACGCACGGACAGTAACCCTACAGCTCTAAGCATTAGACCCTCATCAATGATTTCACGAATTTCTTAAGCAACAACCTCTCTTTACTCCACGATGAAAAACTCCAACCAGTTCGACTCGCGATTTAAAACGCTGCTCGTCGTATTTGCAGTCGTTAAAGTCTCGAACGGGACACGCGAGTCGAATGTTACCTCGTATTCCCACTTGAATCCTCAAATCGTTCCATGTCAAGTCGTACGAAATATGCTCCTTCCTATACGACAAGCACGGGAGAAGCTTGCAAATTCCAAAAAAAAGCACGTCCCGAACCTAACTCTCGCGTCTAGGACATTGAAACTCTCACCTCTGTTGAGACTGGACGGAGACATTGACATTCCTGGCCTGCTTCCGTCGAAGGTACCAGGCCTTTCCGGCATCTTCATCACGTTGCTCTCTTGCTGACCCGTTCCAGTTCCAGACGACGCGTCGGCGACACTCGTAGGACTGGACGTGGTTGTACTAGTCGAGACCGTGGTGATAGCGATACTGTTCGTCACATTGTTCCCGTTGCTAGCCGTATTCGTTGTATTGCTCGCGTTACCACTACCGTTGCTGTTCGTCGTTTTGCTCGCGACGTTGTTGCTACAATTGCCACCGTTACCGTTGCTGCTGATGGCGTTCGCCGTGTTACCGTTGGCCGCGTTACAACTGCTCACAGCTGTCACACTGACCACTCCCTCCCTGGCTATGTCCTGAATCGCACTAGCTGCCCTGGAGCCGATACCAGCCGGCTGAAGGATCGTATACTGTTTCGAGGAGTCGGGACTGGTCACTGCCGGAAGTCCTCCGCCACCGTTCGGATTTTTGCCACTTGTCACTGGATTAGGCGGCACCTCGTGCCTCGTCACGTGATGTGTCTCCTCCTTGGACGATTTCAGTTGCAACAGCGACACCGAGGCAGCGTGCTTCTCCTCCGAGGTGGACGAGATTCCGGTAACAGGTTGCGGCGTAGGCATCGTCGGTCCTGGCCCGGCGGTGGGGTAACCGACGAACGTTGCTGACGCTGGGTAAGGGCCGATAGGTGGGATCGCTGTAGGAGCCACAGCCACCGATGGTGTACCGCGGCCAGTCGCTTTCGCGTGGTCCGTGTTGGGTGGCCTGAACGCCGACGTTGCGGAGAACGGAGAATTCGACGGGGGTGAAGAAGAGGAGGTGGTGGTAACGGTCTGCGAGACCTTCATCCCGTTCTCGTTGTACTGTCTGTGATAGTTCGAGTACAGCTGTTGGTGCTGTTGTTGCTGTTGCCTCGCCGTGCTTTGCGGCGATTGACCGTTTCGACACGTTCGATCTCTGTCCCTGTCGTTCATCTTGTCCCTGTCGACGTCGTCTTTGTCACCGGTCGGATCGGACATGTCGATTTCTAATTCGTTCGAGGAATCGTCGACAAGTTCGTTGAAGTCCGGTGGATCGTATCTCGAGTATTTGTCCGTTTGTCGACCTTGAGCGTCCACGTGAACACCGACTATGCTTCTGTCGTTCCTGTCTTTACACGACAACGATCTCACTGGCACTGCTCGGATTTTACCTGGTTCGCTCGAGTTCAGATTGTTCACTTGGATCTGAATGTTACCGCACTCGTTCTCCTGTTTCAACATGTTATCCAGTTCTTTTTTCACTTTGCTCGGATGCTGTTGTTGTTTGGCCAGGTCTTGTTTCAATTGTTGCTGGGATCTGCTGTTACGGTCTTGCTGACCGCGGTAGGATATCACATCTTTCAAGGAGCAACCAGCCTCGTTGCTGGTGGTAGACGAAGTGGATACGGAAGAAGGCGACAGTTTGGGGTTGTCTTTCTTCTCCTCGAAGAGATTCTCGAAATTCGACTCGTATTTGTCCTCGTCCGAATTTCCACGCTGATAAAGAGAACCTCTAGGACCGGGCCAACTACCGGACAAACTTTTCAAAGCTGCTTCGGTTTCTCTGATCAGAGTCTCGTCGTCCTCAGGTTCCTCCGAGTGTTTACTAGATTTTCTTGCCGGACTACCGGAGTTGCCAGCAGTGAACGCTCGTTTCTTCTGCGGCAACGGTATGTTCTTGCTTGTGTCGTTTGTGTCCAGTAATTTACGTGTTTCATCGTCACGCACGCTTTTCCTTCTTCGTTTAGCAGCAGCATCAGCTGTCTCCATTTCTTGAATGGTCACTTGTGCACCCTTCTTGTTGATCAACGGTTGCTGTTGCTGATAATGCTGCTGTTGTTGTGGCTGCTGTGGTTGCTTAGGATTTGGGCTGACAGATTCTGCTTCCAGCTTCCGTTTTTTGAGATGAGCCATCGCATTCTGGCCACCTGGCACGCTGGTCAGTTCCACCCTGGAACACAAAAATTCCAGAGGATCAGGAAATTTGCTCTCTCATCGGATGCATGGATGCAGTAGTGAGTTTGATCAATGAGTGCAAGCTGGTCGCTCAAGGTCGATTCGACATCTAACCAAAGCAATTTCTCGTATAGCTGGGGAACAGAATCTCTGTCAGTTCCAAAGCCGATTCAGACCACCCGTCCCATCTTCTCGATATCGGATCTCTATTCTTTTATTTCTATTTCGTGTCTGGTTTACATATATATATACACGAGTATACGTATGTATATATATTTCGTTCGTTAACCGTGCATTCAAAGCCTAAAGTAACCTCGTTCTCTCAAGGAAACTCCACCTGAAAGCCATTCGAGGTCTGTCGAGGACATCGCCCCGAATCCTGTGACCCGTTCCATCCAGTCGGGACGTCTCTGTTCTTCGGCCGAATGAAATTATTTTCGCCAGCGATCCTATGTATTTCCTTCGATCGAACAACACACTCCTCTCTCCTCTCTTTCTCTCTCTCTCTCTCTCTCTCTCTCGTCCCAGAATTATCAGAATCCCCCGGGGAGAACACGGAATCGTCGCAGGGAACACACGATCGTGCACGCACTCGTAGTGACAATACGCACGCGCGCGCGCGCGTCTTCACGCACCAGTGACGCGTGCTCTCGGTCGGCTTCTAGCCGACACCGATATATACGATATATAAAGACGGGGTTGCGTTTGCGTGACACAAGTGCGCGGAATGCCCTTCCACGCAGGGTGCTCGCGAGCTACTGTGTGCTATGTTTAAGTTCGTTCGGGGGTGGCGATCTTCCAGCTTGGCGATAGAGAGGGGATGAAGGCTTGCGCGAGCAACCGGCAGCTTCTGCTTCGCCGCGAAAAGTGGGGGCGGGTTCTGCGCACTGTCCACCCCTTTCAGCTTTAGCCGGAACGCGATTCCCGGCCTCTCAGCACATCCCCCGTTACTCACCTCGCCACCCACAGAGCAGAGAGTAGGGGACACGGCCCCTAGATGCACACCAAGGTGTTCAGTGTGTTGGTATACGTGCACCTGTACACCTTTCACGTCGCTTATATTCACCCACATCTTAACTTCCACCACCCACTCTCTCTCCCACCTTCTCCCCCCCCCCCCCCCCTCTTTCGCTGCCTTTAAGAGTCCCGGCAACGCTGGTCCCCGGCCAGAGACCTCTCCGGTTCTCCCGTCTTTTTTACGTTCAGCGGAGAGAGTGCCTGGCGTAACGAGCAACGTGAAATTCAATTAGAATTAAACTAGGAGAACGCAACGGCGGCGACGTCGACGACGCTTCGTGATCATCGCTGTATTTACTTCTGATTACGGCAAACGCCGCGTCCCTCGTAACGCATTTTCGTTCAAACATTTTCCATGGTCCTCGTAATTACGCTGATTCCCTGTAATTGTCCTGTGAGTGCTTGGGAATATTGCGCCGCGTTCTAACCGATTCGACGAAAAATTACGCCGATCATTCTTCGCGAAGGATTCAATTCTTCGAGCTGTGCAATTACTATCCGAAGTTATCGAAATGCACTTTACCCTTCGATCGAGCTTTCGCTCTATCTAGGATCAAGACGCGGCTATCTTTGGACGACGCTTATCGATCGGTTATGTAAGAAAGGCTAGCGTGCACGTCGCTTACATTTCGAAGGATCGAGCGAGTGGGAGGTTTTCCTCGATCGTCAGGGATCGTAAAATATATATTTTCAATCGACGGCCCCTCGGCCAGCTCGCACGGTTTACAGCGATAGCGGGAACCTACAACTCGAATTAGATAAACCGAGGTTCCGAGAGGCGGAAGTGCAGGAAGAAGAAGAAGAGCAGGATCAGCGTCAGCGCTTAGCGGGAGCTTCGAAGGATCTCGGGGAGTGAGAGGGCTTTCCTTAAACCCTAAACCCTCCTCAGACCACGGCAAGCTCGGAGAGTTTAGAGCAACGAACTCCTAGAAAGGACCGCGGGAAGAGAATGTGCCTCTCCTCTCTGGCTAAAATCGAAAGTTAAATCGCACCGACGGGCTTAAGACATTATCACTTTTCTTTGCCGGCCAATGCTCATTGGTCCAAGCACTCGGTGTTCGAGAGTTCGGGAGCTAAACGAGCAAGTGAAACAGCGAGAGAAAGGTTGGTGAAGCGGAGCAAGGAAGAGCTCGAATCCCTTCCAGTTAGGGATCAATGCTTCCTCGTCCACCCTCCAATTACGTGTCATCCCTTATGGCCTGTGGGGAATAATTAGAAAGCAGCCCTTCTCCGTAGGCTCGAGTACCTACGTCCGTGGTTATCGTCTAAAGATTGGTTTCGTTTTCGCGTCCAAAGGAAAATGTCACGTCCGATGTTCAAGTCTGCAGCAGCAGTGACAGATGCACGAGAAACGCAGCTTCTGCTAAACAGGGAAATACTACTCGAGGTGTTACGCACAGAGTTCAATGAAAGTTTCGAAGGAGATTGAGAATGGAACGATATCCGAGCTACGGTAAACTGTTTTCACGAGACCTGGCTACTTTATACGAGCTTCTCAATTGTTCTTCGAAATATAGATCGTACTTTAGCTACTTCTTTTAACCCTTTCAGCGGGGAGCTTCAACCGCTTACATAAATAACCGCGAAACTAACTTCCAGATTGTCGCGGAACCGAGAACGATGTTCCTACGTGCAACAAGCGAGTGATCAAATAGGGAATAGGGGAATTAACAGTTTCACTAGTTTCACGTGAATTTCTAAATGTACGTTCGTCGATGTATTTCATTTATCTTCGTCGCTGAATTCTATAGATCACAGAGTACCTACACATTTTTCACTGAAATTAATTCACAAATATAATTTCTCGTCTGACAACAAAAAATGTGTCTGACACGTGTGAGAAACATGGAAAATGTGCGTACATGGAAAGAGTTTGTTTCGAGTATGACACGCTTACTATTCAGTCTGCGTCAACTGATAACAGTCCTCCCACTCAACAGACACGAAGATTCTCGACACCTCAAAATCCGTACTCGTCAATTAATTAGCAAGTGCCGTTCGTAGCGGAGGAGATGGTTACCCAGGAACACGAGGCTGCAGAGGCGGACGATGGTGCCTCCACTGAAGGGATTAGAGTATTAGGCGACGTCACGTCACTAGAGTCTAAAGGAGCCTCCTTGGAACTGTGCTCTCAGAGATAGCCCAAACTTACACACACCCATCCGCCTTACCAATGGTACTTCAGGTACCATCTCTCTCGCACGCACTGTCCCTCTTCCTGGCTCTCTTCCTTACTCTTCTTCTCCGTCTCCCTCCTCATCTTTCGCCGTTGCCTCTCCGCTGATTTTCGCGTCCTTCTTCGAGCCCTTGACAATTCCAATTAGATAAACCACCGTCGGATCACGGTACTCTTAGCGGTGTTCGTGGTTCGGTCTGTCTTTTGATTCGTGCCGTGATCGTTGTGCAATACAGATGTCGAAAATTGCTCGTTATTAATGACTCGGTACGTTGACACTTTCGCTGCCACCGACGCAGCGTGTGCGGTCCAGAATGTGATGCTTAACACGCTAGCGATTTTCTGGTGGCAGCGAGCGTGTTAAATGATGTCGAATTTTTTGTATTCTTGTTTTGATAGAAAGTGTATCAATTCCTTATCAATTTTTTATAAATACCAAGTAATTTTGCTAGGTTCACATTCTAGTTTCCATACAAAGTGCGTCCATTCTTTAATACAATACTTTATTCCGTTTAAAATTATTCAAATTATACTTTTTTCTTATTCTTCGATAGAAAATTAATTTTTCGTCAATGTACTGTTAGTGTTAAGAACGTATTTGGGATTTTGAAATATGTCCTGTTGGCTTTTATACGGTAATATATATTCTTTTCAACTTCGTAAATTGTTCCTATTTACAATACACTAAAGTCATTTTACCCTGCAGCTAATAAAATGAGAATTATTCATTTTGTTCTATCAAACAGTGCTTCGTGATAAACATAGAAAATTTGTTCGAAGAAATTACACGTCGCCTACTTATTTCGATTCATACGTTCCCGTACATCGACGAATCAGAACGATTTTTCTCGCACATACTCCGTCGAAACAGCAGCGAGAAGGGTGTTCTCGCGAAAGGAACTCGTACATCTTTTTCTCGCCGACGTTCAAGGGTGGGAGAGGTCGGTGCTAGGCGAATGCCGTATAATTTAGGGGTCTCTCACGCGTGGATAATGGGGAACTTGGCTAATGCACCCCACTTGGCACCACGTGAATTCGCGTGAGTTTTGCGACTCTTCTCCCTCTGCCTTCTTAAACGCTGAATGAACGTACCGTCGTGACTGTGGAACAATACGAGAAGAACCTCAACTATTTATATTCATTCAACTCGGCTTCCTTTTACCTGTCAAATTTTACTATTCTGACAGAGACACTTGAAGACTCGTTTGAAAAATTTTTATCATCTGCAATCACTACTTTACAATAATTATTCTAACAGCCAGAGATACTATTCCTTTCGGTGTACTGTAACGAATAAATCATTTTTTTCTGGTTCCTGTGATAACGACACTTCTAATAGTTAAGGATCTTTTCGAAATTTTTGTTTCAGAAGTGTCACCAGAAAGTGCTACCTTTGAAGAATATTTAGAAAAATTAATTTTAATGCCTCTAAGGTA